CTATGCGGAACGGGGCGGGGCGGGTGGAAATTTTGCGGGTTAAGACAAAACCCGCCCCGCACCGCTTGCCATCTCTATTGGAGATAGACTCCTATTTACGCTTTTGATTTTATTTATTATGGTACATCAAATTCCTCTCTTAGATACATTAACATCTCATCTACACAAAATTTCTCCAAAATTCAAGTTCAGGACAGGAGAATAAAAGAACCAACATATCAAATTCTCGCAACAAAAATAATCCTATTCGGAGCAATTTCAAGATTTACAACCAACAGTACAAATGGAACGAACCTTTCGCTGATCTTCCATGAGATGCCTGTACTTGTCAATATTGGGTACAGCCAGCAATTTGGGCATAAGATGGTTGCGAAAATACCCAGGTGCTACTTTCACCGTTTCCCCTGCTTTTCCAAGCTTGTCTGTGCTCTGCTTAGAAAAACATATTATTGAACAAAAGGACCAGCGTAAATTGTTGTAATAGGTAAAGGGTCAGTGACAATTGGATCAATAAAATAGAAAAATGTAATATTGATGAAGAAAAGAGAGAGAATCAGGCTTCTGTACTTGGAAAAGGGTCAGTGCAAAAGTGAAAGAGAATAACTTACAGTCGTGAGAATGACTTGTAGTTTTCGGTATCGAAGACCTTGAGCGGCGTAGAATAAGGGATGGTGCAAAGGTACTTCTCCTCCATCACATTTCTGCAATAAGGTTTTCACATTCTTGAGTTGTTGCCGCAGAGCCATTGCGAACGGCGAATAGAAGTACAACGAAGTGGAGCTTGACGGCAAATGGTATTGAAGTGGGATTTATTTCCACCTTTGCCCCCTTTCTTTTCCTTTTTGTTTTTTTTTCCTTTGCACTCGTATACACCTACGAAAAAGAAAGAGAAAGTTCGAAACTGGAAGGCAACGACAATTACAAATTGTATAGATGGATGGGTTGGTTTGATTTTTATTAAAATTAAATCAAATATATTTGTTTGGATTGGTTCGATTTATCGAATTTTTCGGATTTTTTGAGTTTTTTTTGTTACATAAATACTATGTCAATCTTGTTTTATTAAACTTTTTATAAGTAAATATATATTTAATAATAAGTAGAAAAATGACAAATATATGATCTATTAAAATATTCTTATGAGAAATATTTTTAGTAACACATGATAGTTATTTTTTTAGTTATCTGACAAAAAGTTTTTATTTGATGTACAATTTCAAGGTTAATCGAATTTAATAATTAAATATAAAAATCAATATGATACCTAAATAATGATATGTTCTATTTAATTTTCAATTATCGAAATACCACTTCAAATTCGAAAAAGATTAAGAATTTAATAGATCTTGACATATGAATGAGGAAGAACAAAAAGATTGTCGCATTTCAATAACACTTGATATAATACAACACATTATTTAAAGTTAATAAAAAATGGAGTACTTCATATTCTATTAAATATTATATCCCATAAGAGAATTCCAAATATTTCTAGATAATTTTTAAAGAAAATTCTATATAAAGTTTTAAAGTATATATAAAAATTATATATTTATATGTCAGTTTGGTTCGGGTTTTTTTATTCAATTTCAAACTAAATCAAACCAAACTTCATCGGGTTTTTTAATCGGTTTGGTTTGACTTTTCGGTTTGGTGCATTTTTTCGGTTTGGTTTGTACACCCCTATTCCCAAATATTCATGATGTGCATTTGGATATTGATTCTTGATTATTTTTTTAAAATAAATTAAAATTTTCATATATTTAGAGCTGCTTATTAGATAAATATAAATTACTTTTATTAATTAAAATAGTTTTAAAACATCTCGAAAATAAATGAATGGTATTGTTTGTTTGGATGGAAAAGGGAAGGAAAACAATAGTAATCTCCTCATTTCATTTTTAAATGATTACATTAAGAAAATGACTACATTTGATTGAATCAGATTGTAAGAAAAACTTTTAAAACATTAGTTGCACTAGTAAGAGAATTTTAAAGGTTGAAATGAAATGTTAAGAGTAAAGAGTTTCAAATATGTAACCGTATTGATCTTTTTAAAATGAACCAGAAAAAAGAGCATCATATAAAATAAAATAGAGATGTTATTAGATTTATATTTAAGAACACCTTTTCTCATTCTCAACAAAATGGTTTGGGATGGCAAAAAATGTTTTCTTCAAAAAAAAAATATTTCATTGTCTACATTTTTTTTATATAGAAAATATTTTATCTAGCCAAAGCATTTTTTACCAAAGTGAGGAAAATAATTTCCTTTACTTATGACATAAATTATTTTCCTTTCGAAAAAGGGCTAAAATTGTTCCTAACCTATTCGTTTCAATCTAAACTACCCCTCATCCATCCATTTTGCTTAGAGTGACCCTACCGTTAAAGATCTGGCCTATATGTGCCCTTATTTCTAACGGATTATATATCAATAAAAGAATATTTTTATTAATGTCAAGTGACCATTTCTAATTGATCATTAAATATGACACCGCCCCAACCCATGTTTTATCTTACCCATTGCCCATCCAGATCGACCCGACCCATCAAAGATTCTTTTAGTCTCTTAAAATATCCTATTTTATTTTATTCTTCACCTATTTCATATACTCTTCTGAAAAGCAAAATGGTCGGTAATTTTGGAGGTTAACAGCTTGGGATTTTCTGCTACAGTATTGTATTAAAGTTGACGGATTCATGTTGCTCTTAAAATTAAAGTCTTTTCTCCATTTAAGTAAGACTTTATGCTTAGGGTTTTTGGAATCTTTTATCTAGTGTTGCTTTCGATGTGTTATGATGTTTCAATTGTGTCAAATGGAGTGGTAGAACACAAAAATAGAATCTTATAAGATATGGCAAGAACTATGATTGTGAAAAATTCTCTTCCATATCACTTCTGGGCAGAAACTGTAAGCACCGCATGTCACATCATTAACAGATATCCGATTCGACCTATTCTCAAAAAGACTCCATATGAGTTGTGGAAACTTAAAAGACCCAACATCAGTTATTTTCATCCATTTGGCTGCAAATACTTTATCCACAATAATAGAAAAGACAACCTTGCTATGTTTGACCCAAAAAGCGATGAAGGTATTTTTCTTGGATACTCTCCCTCAAGTAGAGCATATAGAGTTTTGAATAAATAAACTTTATCTATTGAAGAATCCATACATGTTGTATTTGTGGACACTAACCCTTGCTCAAGGAATGAAAAACTTTCTCAAGATAAGGAAATTTTCATAGTTCCAAAATCTGTCAATACAGGTGAGAACATTCGTGATGAGGTGACTAATTAATAACATCAATCGATAGATAGTCACATAGAAAACCGGGAGTCTCCTACAGCTGAACAATCAAGTCCCACCGAAAAGGAGCCAGCATCAGTTGTTCCAAATGAATGAAAACTAAGCCAGGATATGCATATAAATACATCCTTGGAAATTCTCAGGAAGGCATGAAAATAACAAGATCGTTAAATAAGACATCAAATATTGCTCTCATATCTCAATTTGAACCAAAAAGGTAGATGAGGCTCTTGGTGGTAATAGCTGGATAACTGCAATGCATGAGGAGCTTGACCAATTTAAGAAGAATAAGGTATGGGAACTCATCCCTAAACCTCCGAATGCATCCATTGTTGGAACAAAATGGGTTTACAGGAATAAGCTGAATGAGTCTAGACAAGTGCTACGAAATAAAGCTAGACTGGTTGCTCAAAGTTATTCACAACAAGAAAGAATTGACTACGAGGAAACCTTCGCTCTTGTTGCCAGGTTAGAATCTATTCGTATTTTATTAGCCTATGCTGCTCACAAGTGCTTTAGACTGTTCTGGATGGACGTGAAAAGCATATTCTTAAACGGATTCATCTCTGAGGAAGTGTTCGTTTAGCAACCCCGGGATTTGTAAATGAATCCTTTCCAAATCATGTCTATAAGTTATCCAAAGTCTTGTATGGGTTAAAGCAAGCTCCTAGAGCATGGTATGAAAGGCTAAGTTCATTTCTAGTCAAACATGGATTTGATAGAGGTAATATTGATACCACTCTCTTTATCAAGCGATTAGTCGAAGGTAATTTAATTGTGCAAAATCTATGTGGATGATATTATTTTTGGAAGTACTAACCCGATTTTATGTAAGGATTTTTCAAACATCATGAAAGGGGAATTTGAAATGAGTATGATGGAAAAATTATTTTTCTTCCTTGGGCTACAAATCAAGCAATTACATAAAGGGACTTTTATTAGTCAAACAAAGTATACAAAAGAGCTTATTAAAAATTTGGTCTGTCTAATGCTAAGGCCATAAGGACTCTCATGAGTCCATCAACCACCCTTGATGAAGATAAAGATGGTAAGAGTGTTGATGAAATAATGTATTGAGGTATGATTGGATCTGTACTCTATCTTACAGCTAGTCGACATGATATTATGTTTAGTGTTTGCAAATGTGCAAGATATCAGTCAGCTCCCAAAGAATCCCACTTGACTACTGTTAAACGTATTATCAGATATCTGATAGGGACAGTCGATTATGGACTATTGTACGAAAGCTTAAATGTCTTTGATCTCAAAGGTTTTTCAGATGCAGATTTTGCAGGTGATAAAATTGACAGGAAAAGCACAAGTGGAACATGCCAATTACTTGGAATATATCTTATATCTTGGCACTGCAAGAAATAAATTTGTGTAGCCTTATCTACTACTGAAGCAGAATATCTGGCTGTAGGCAACTGCTGCATACAAGTCCTATGGATTATGCATCAACTGTTAGACTATGATTTACGTCTTAATTGCATTCCAATTATGTGTGATAACACTAGTATTATTTGCCTTTCAAACAATTATGTGCATCATTCTAGAGCTAAGCACATTGAAATCAAGCATCATTTATACGTGATCATGTTGCAAAAGGTGATATTGTGTTTAGAATTTGTTAATACTGAAAATCAGTTAGCATATATTTTCACAAAACCACTGCTTGAAGAGAGATTTTGTTTCATTAGTGACAAAATTGGTATTTGCTTAATTCCCGCTTAATTTCTCTAAGTTTTCCTATTTTAGAAAATATTTTACAAGTGTTCTTCGAGATTTTAGCCTAAAATATCTCTAAATGTGTTTGATTACTCTATATGTGCATTAATTATCTGATTGACGACGAGTTTGCAGAAGGCAACTTTTCAGTTGCCTTTCACACGTCTCTCCCGAATCGAGGCGTCTATTCATCATCACTCACCCTCTTTTTAATCCATCTCCTCGTTCATATCTCCCATTATCACAAAGAAAATTTCTCTCTGCTCTCTCTTGCTCATGGCCAAAACCAAACCCTCTCCACCTTCCTTCATGCTTAGAAGAAGCCACCGCTTCAAGAAAACCCTCAAACTGATGATCCGGTGGATGTTGAGTCGTCATAAAGTACAGATCATCAACAGTTTGAGGATGAGTCCAGTGATTCACAGGAAGAAATCCTCATTGCTCAAAAGAGGATTGGAAAACGTCCAATGGAGTCCATCCCCAAACAGTCATCTCAAAAGAGAGGAAAAATAGAGAGCATTGAATTTCGGTCTGAAGATAAGATGAACTTCTATGGTCCCGAAGAGGAAGACAAATTTGTTGCCTATAAAGGGAAATCGATTGCCTATGGTCGCACTATAAGTTTGAAATCTATGAAAAACTCTCACTGTGATGTTATCTCTGTGTTTAAAACTCAAAAACATCTCTCCCAATTTGCAACTGTTGGTGATACTGTCTATGAAGAGCCTATGCGTATGTTTTATGCTAATCTATTTATGAATGAAAAAGATGACTTAGAATCCATGGTTTTGGGAACTCGCATTATTCTTTACTCTTATTAGTTTGAAAAGATCTTTGCAACTAAGTTTGTTGGGTATAGTTTCTTTGTGCAACATTCTTGGCCTGATAGTTTTGAAGTGTCATTTGAAGAAGCAAAAAAAAATTATCTGAAACCCCCTTGATATTGGTCCCAAACATCTGAAATTTGAGCACCGTGTACTAGCCCACATTATTACTACTACCCTGTTACCACTTACTGGTTCTCTTACCACCTTGTCTATCAGAGATGTGTTTGTCATGTACTGTCTTGTGAATGGAAAGGCTATTAATTGGTTTATGTGGGTATGTCAGTACATGCTTGAAAGCATCTGAGATGTCTCCTCTTGTGCTCACAGCTTGCCTTATGATTTACTAATCTCTCATATTTTGCAAGTTATGAAAGTAGATTTGTCTTTCTATGGCCCTAAGACCATCTCCAGTACATATGACAAGACTGGCTTTGCTATGATGGGGTACACTCTGGTTGAGGGAACTTGGTTCAAGAAGGACAAAGCACCAGAATCTACTCCTCAATACGGCACTGGAGGCATTAAATCTGAAGCAAGCAAATGTTCGTCCTCAGACCAGCTGCCACTGATGCAGCAAAATATTATAGATATCAAGGAATTACTAACTTCTATACAGGAATATATGGACAAGATCAGGGAAGTGACAAAGGAAACTGGAGCAGATGTGGCCAGATTAAGGATCACCCTTAGCCACAAAGAGGCAAGGGATCAGGACTATGAAGGATGTCACTAAGAAGCTGACCAAAGTTACCAAGGAGATTGATGCCTCTTATGATAGTTTCTGCACCAAAGTGATCAACACTTTGAAGTATTTCCTTGGGAGGAACTAAGTGTCTGGGCTGTTTAAACAATCTTTTCTTTGTTCTTGTGTTGTTTGATAAAACCTTTTTTTGGTTGTGTTTGGATGGGCATACAATCGACTATGCCCACTTTTGCATGCTATAACTGTTAGATGTATATAACTATGCATGCTTTAACTGTTATTATTAGTTATTGTCCTCTGTATCTCCTCTTGTTCTTTTTGATTAATGTCAAAGGGGAGAAGAAAAAGAGAACAAATACAGGGGGATCGTGCAAACAAGGGCATAAAGACATAGGGAGCAGAAGTACACACCTTGAAAGGGAAGTGCCCCCTAAAATTAGTCAAACTCTTTTTGGATTATTGTCATCATAAAAAGGGGGAGATTGTTAGGTTAGAATGTTAATAATGATCAATAATCAAAAGCCTTGACTAATGCCAATAGCCATTCCACCTTATGTGCAGATTCGCAATGGCTCTAATGAATTCAAGGAAGGAAAGAAAATCATCTAAGCATATCAAAGGGAGCTAACGACTATGTTATTCAAACTCCATATCAAATGGATACCAAGATGAAAAGAGAATCAATCAAACAAGCAACAAGGAAGGAAAGAGAATCAATCAAACAAGCAAATGATTCTCGAGCATACAAGGAAGGAAAGAGAATCAATCAAGAGAAATCTGTGGAAGTATTTAAGAGAAGTTAATTGGAAAGATGAAGGAACCAAACTTCAAATTGAGAATGAATCTGGCCATACCTCTCAAGCTAGATTCATGAGGCCTCCCTTGGGTCCTACTCTTAGAAGATTATGCCTCACAAGGAAAAGACCTCCAATCAATGATCTTTCGCAATCCCAGAAAAGAGAAATCATAAGCTTCATCGAGCATTATTAAAGAAGAAGTGGAAGGACAAGGAAGCTCACGCAACTTAGCACCTGTTTCTATACCTTTCTAGTTCTTAGTACAAACAGTGTATTTTTGAGTTTACAAGTGTCACAAAAAGATAGGAAGAGTTAGAAAACAAAACAAGAGTTGTGTCAAAGTTAGGCAAACACTGTTGTTAAATATCGTTGGTGGGGAATGTACTAAAACAACCATTGTTGTTACGACTTATTGAAAATCTAAGAGAACCCTTGTGACCCAAGAGAACTGGATGTAGGTACCACACCGGTACTGAACCAGTATAAAATTCATGTACCTTATTTATTTTTATTCTGCACAATTCACTTATGCTGCAAATTGAACCTGCTGAAAAGTTTAGTCGACTAATTCCTCTTGTAGTCAACTAAGTTTTAAAATCGGTTACAATTCAACCCCCCTTCCCCCTTGTACTTTCACAAAACACAGGTTGACAACTAAAAGAAAGAAAGTCCTAAGTTTTTAAGACTAATAGCGTGTCAAAAAGTGCTTTTTTCCCCTAAAAGTATTTTCCCCTCCAAAGTTATATATATATATATATATATATATATATTATTTATTTATTTATTTTACTTTACCGAGCCGCCCTATAGTCGGTCGGGTACGATACCTATTGTGCAACCATTGATTAGTTGGGTATGATGAGACATTATGTGAAGTATTTATCAAGCCCCTTATGTGGCTGGGTATGACCGAGTCCTCTACGAGATTGGGTACGAAATAATGTATCATGTGATATTACCGAGTCCTCTTGAGACCGGGTACGCCGAGTTCTGTTGAGACCGGGTACAACCGAGATCTTCTGAGGACGGGTACGACTGAGTCCTCTTGAGGCCGGGTACACCGAGTCATGTTGAGGCCGAGTACAACCGAGATCTCCTGAGGCCGGGTACGATGTGATGAAGATATAGGACTTTACCGAGTCCTCTTCGAGGCCGAGTACGATATGATATGATATGATATGCCCCAAAGAGTGGTTGAGCATGATATGAGATTATATGCCCCAAAGAGCGGTTGAATAATATTGTATTATATTATATATTTAATGCAAAGCCCCAATGAGTGGCTTTCTTCTTACAAAACTTGCATACATTCACAATTCAGGGTTACTGCAGTGCACGCCCCTGTGGCTTGTCTTCAGTGTTTAGGTTGAATTGTGTATTCATATCTCTTATGTTATGCTTTTGGTTTACAAACATTATCAGCCTTACATACTCGGTGCATCTTTCGCACTGACGCCCCTTTCTTCTGGGCACTATGTTCATGTCCATAAATACAGATAGACCCGGTGACGTCCCTCCCCAGTAGGGTGCACGTTTCAGCTGTTGGTTGTCGCACTCCACTTCTCCGGAGTAGCTGTACAGAAGTCGATAGGTACCGAAGCATATGTTTCTAATGTTTTGGGTATGGTGGGGCCCTGTCCCGACCACGTTATGTATTGTGGCACTCTCAGAGGCTTGCAAACTAGTGTCCAGTGTATGTAAATATGGTTATGACTCTGTTGGCAGCGATTATGTATATATAAGGTGTTAAAGTTTCTTCCACAGTCAGTTGTGAACATTTTTAAATTTTGGTATTATACTTGGAGCCCTTGTTAGTCCAGATTTCATGTTGAAAAGTCTAAGTATGGGCGTTGGTTCGCACGTACCTTCTTGCGTCGTGTGCCAGTCGCACCTCCCGATGTTGGGGTGTGACAACTAATTTGCTTATGGGCTGACATAAGTGGTAGTTTCTCAAAGACAAATAATATTTACGAGAGGTAGCCCAGCGTGAGCAATTTGTCCTACTTTTTTTGCTGAGTTCGGCATCCAAATAGTGTACTTTGAACTGCATTTCCGTCCAATGTAAAGCACAGATGATCCTATCAAGAAACTATTGATGTTGCTGGTTACTTAGAACCACCAAATTAACAGGTCAATTTACCCAATAGTCTGGCCGATGACATTTCTTCAAGAAGCAACACATCTTGATAAAACAACAAAGAGGTTCTTCATTCTCAAAGACTCGAACATAAGGCTTTTGGTTAAAGGTAGAAGGATACCAACCATCCCACCGCGCCTTTGATGGGTGAACATTTCAAGTATGAATTATCAACAAACGTATTATTAAGGCTGAAAATGCACTTGGTATAATTAACTTTCCACTCTCAAGACCTACAATGTCAAGAAATGTCAATATAACAAATCACCAAACTGAGAAGCAATAAAGAAAATGCGAGGAAATTTAAGCGGAATTTACAAGGTCAAAGGAGGCATCTGTCACCATAAAGGGAACAAAAATCCATTTCATTTGCACTCAACACCAGCTTCTGCAGCACGACGAGGCTTGTTTTTCCGCCTATGCCTATTATGACGAAAACCATTGGATCGAGTAGACTCATCAGTGCTTGATTTAGTTCCATTACCATTTTCCTCTTCTGCTGAATCGTGTTTTTTCTTCAACCTCGTATTCCGTTTCCTCTTCTTTCCATTCTCCAATGCATTAGAACTTTTTATCTCTAAGTTTGGAATTCCAGTTTTTTCATCCTCGGCATCCTCCTCTTCTATTATTTCAGCTACTTCATCAATGTCATCTTTAAGCGACTTTTGTGGCCTTCCCCGTCTCTTCTGTGCAGGGATTTTCTCTTCCTCGTCGCTTCCTGGATCATCATGGTCACTCACAGTCAGTTTCTTCCCTTTCCCTCTACCTCGAACCATGGCTTAAGGACCTGTGACTTCAGTAAAGTTGCACTTGAAATACCTGCTAAACAAACGAAACCTTTAGCAGAGGCTAACCAAACGAACCAAGTAAGGTTCCTAATTGATAAATGGACCTTGGGCCTAACTCAACCCCAAAAGCTAGCTTATGAGGTGAGGATTGCCCGAGACCATATAAGGAAACCAAGGACTTCAAATCCCTCCGATATGGGACAACTCAACACTAATGAAAGGCCGAAAAAAAGACAATCATATGGTAGGACATTCAATTTATCTTCTTTTCCAGGTAATAGAACAAAATACTGCACAACACTTAAAGTCATGACACGTCATCAACCGTTAAGCAAATGCAATGTCTCATTTTTCTTTTATTTTTACAGATAATACATGGTAAGGGGAGGCAAGAAATCTTTCACTTTACGAAAGAGAAAGCAAAATTATGCAAACGAGGTGATCATGCTCTTGATTGTATCAAATGCTTACAGGAGGTTCTGACTTAGAGGACATAAATTGTGTAATAAGGCCAGAAATCATGGCATCCATTACCAAGGCAATTTCGGCTGAACTGAGCTTAAGTTTTGAGGAAGTTGCCAAGTGATTGATAAGTTATTCTAAATTGGACAAGAGAAAAATATACCACTGAACATTTAAGTTCATATAACAATTACAAGCTGGAAAGTTATCCTTCACCTGTTAGCTTCTTAGTGGAAAAACACAGTACATTTTTCTTTTAGAATTCTGGTCTATCAAAAACCAATTTTGAAGCAAAAAGCAAAATAAGATATGTCAAAATCTTACCTTAAACACTGATGCACACAGTGATGAAGTTTCTCAAACTTAAAGCAGAACCATCAGCAAATCTAAATTTGAACGCAGTCTGTGAAAAAGTCGAGGCCCTAAAATGTTTCTTTAGTACTCCTAACAGGGTCTAGAAGCTATATATGCCTCCTCCACGACCAGTCTGTGAGAATAGCTGAACGCCCTCTGAGTAAAAAAGACCAAAGTACAGTTACAATCAAGTAGGTGATCAGCAAATACAATTGCAGAGACTTTTGGGAGGAAACAAACCATTATTTGTGAAGAATTCACAAATCACCAGTATCATGCTGTAGCCAAATATATTTCATAATCAGTGGACAATTTATTTGTGAAATGTAGAAGCCCATAACACATACAGCTCAGAGCATCAAGTTGAGTACTATATGATGGAATCAAGTTCTCATTTCCTGATTCTTAAAATCTTCAGGAAAGAATGTGATGCCTTTAGTTATTTCAACTTTAGGACACAATCTAGCATGACCAATAATGGTTATAGTACATTTGATTGTTCTTACCATCATCTACCTGGTTATAAAGCAAATGTTGCTTTATAGTCCTAGTTCTATTTCTGCATGTTATCCATCTCCTACAGCTAACTGGAACCATATCTTATGAAACTCAACATTTTCCTGTTCTCCCTCAGCAGCATAAATATCTGAAAATAACTATAAAACTCAGATTCTTCACCTCCATCCCTACTATATGCTTTGCCATCTTAACAACCACTGAAAGAAGCCCCAAAAATTTGAAACTGTAACTTCCATTGGCATATGTTTGATTGTATCTAAACCTCATCCATCCTCCAAACACGACACAAAGATCAACGACACAAGCAATCCTAGCATAATGCTCTTTCCTCGATCTAAGACTCCTCCATGAATCAAAAGATCTTCAAACCTCTCCTGACTAAACCACCATGACTACATGCAGAAAGAAGAGAAATTTGACAGCACTCTTTCATACTCTTGAAAAGTTGGATTGCATATTCCATCCCCCCATGCTTCCCGAAAAATCCTTTCACTCCTACATTTAAAGCACATTAAGCACACTAGCAACAACCACAGTTACCAAAAATGCTCCACTCTGTAAATCAAACATGAATATTCCCACACAGAGCCAAAATACCCCACATTGAAAGAAGCCCGGTGAGACTAACTTCATGAGGCTTAACTCCAGCAGCTAGCATATCCTGAAATAAGGCTAAAGCTTCACGAGATCCTTGGCAACCACGAAATCATCGCATTCCAAGTAACCAAATCTGGAGTCAACCCCTCTTTACTAATTTCAAGAACAACAGCTTCACAATCTCCTTTCCTAGCGTATCCAGTGATCATCACAATCCATGTAAAATTGTTTGGCATTTTGCCTTCTAACCTTGTTTTTAGAAACAAAATTAAGTGATTCTTCAATTTTCCCACGTTAGAATATGCATATGTCACTCGTGCCGAGGATACAATATCTCTCTAAAAAATTCTGACAAGAACCAATTGGGCATCTCCATATTGCCATAATTATCATACATATCAGTCAAGGCACTTCCCACCAACTCATCTGATTCATATCCAATCCTATATATCATACTATGCCTCTTTATGCAGATCCAATGGACCAACATATGCTGAACAGCACAATTGGAAATGTGTACTTATCCATAACAGCTCTCAATTATTGAAGTATAAAAAATTAGCCAATAGTGTTCAGGGTACCAATGGAATGCTAAAGCTGATATGATCCAATCAAAAGCAAAAATATTCAGGTTTGGGAAGCCAATAATAGCTTGTACACGGGTACCAGTGGAATGCTAAAGTTGAAATGATCCAATCAAAAGCAAAAACATTGGAGTTTTTGGAAACAGAAATTCAGCAGAATATAGATCTCCATAACTTGCATACACACCAACGAGCTTTGACTCAGTGATAAATCGTTCATGTATATGCACGATTTTGACATTACTGCATGAATTTGCTTGATAAGGCCTTCATGCATTTTTGCAATAATAAGCTAAACCTATTTATAGACAAATTGATTGGAGATGTGAGGTAAAAGTTTATGCCAAACTTGAAATCCCAAATGGAAAACAGCCACATAATGTACAGATTTGAATATTCCACAAGATCAAATACTGTCTGAATCTGCATTTGCAAGACTGCAAGATAACAGTCAATGTCGAATATATATTTAACACCACGTTTTCGAATCCAATGAGCACATAATATAACAATGATCTTTTGTATAAGACCACAACTGAGACAGGTATAATAAATTTCCATCTCAATCCTTGATAAAAAGAGATAATTATAGTCAGTTAAATATACACTACCAAATCGTAAGAATGCCTTTTCAGCCTGGAGAGATCTATAGAGCAAGCGAGTGGAGGTATCCGTCCTATTAATTGAAGTGTTCTAAATCAAAACTGAAACAGGCAATACTGTCGCAGGCAAAAACCACTAGAACCTCAGTTTCTACACCTGGCATATATCTTCTCCTTTTTGTATATTTGGACAACAACAACTAGAGCGTACTAATATATAGAGGATTGACATAGCCTACCCCAACTAGTTTGCACTTGAAGCATAGTAAATTGATTGCCGGATTAATTTTGTTAATACCATAACCACTGAAAGACATAAAATTTAAGCAAACTTACAGCACAGGTAGAACCAAATCAAGAAAACAGGAGGAAGTATAAATTCACCTGCTATACATCACATAGCCTAAATCTAACTTAGAATTGAACTAAGATCTAAATAACAAACCATGCAAATTTCAAATTAACAAACAAAATACCAGATCCAGAAGACTAAAGCAGAATTATTACCTTATCCCACCCCCACCCCACCCCCCCCAAAAAAACAGCATATTTAAAGGTATATAAGCTGCTATCAAATTCAACAAATTTGCTAGAACCAAAAAGTATTTCAACACAGCCATACAACAACTACAACTCAATCCTAAAATAGATGGGGTCCACTATGTAATCCTCCAAATCAAAAGATTAACAAAGAGAACACTAGATCCAGAAGATTAAAGCAGTATTCAAACTACAAAGCAGCCATCAAATTCTGTACAAGTGGTAGAACTAAAAAGTGTATATAAAGCCAAAAGACAGTGGAAAAAAGTAATCTTGAACTCACCAAAAGACTCATTTGAAGAAACCAGTCAAACCCATTTGATGGCGTGTTCAAAAAAACCAAGAATAGCTTTGAACCAGCAAAATTAGAAGAAAAAAAATATGGTGACCCAGATCAAGAATAGTGAACCTGAATTCAGAGACTAGAAAAGCTAAAGATTGTATGTCACTGAGATAACAGAAGGACCCTCCATTGCCAAAAACAAAGATAAGAAACCCAAAGGTATGGAGAGAGAGAGAGAGAGAGAGAGAGAGAGAGAGAGAGAGAGAGAGAGATTTTTCTCAACTGTTTGTGTAGTGCCTCAGCGGCGTGAGTATAACAGCAAAGAGTTTGGTTTCTATTCTGATCTGTTTTCTTGTTACTTACTTAGGACTTGGAGTAGTAAGTATTTAGGTATTTTCCATCTTATTTTTTTTCTTATTTAATAATGATGGTGTTTAGAAAAACGACATTAATCCACAATTATCTACATTTCTCCGGAGATTGTATAACTCTGCTATCATTTTTTTAATAATAGTAATGCTCAGATCAATCCTAAGCTATATACGCTGGTAATATAAAAATATTTAAAATTATTTATTAAGTAATTCTATTCATAACCGTAAATTGATAATTTCGCTAAAATATATTTAGCATTGGAATTTATTGAATGTTGTCGGGCATAATGGAGATTGAAATTTGCATCTCCTTTCTCATTATGTCCCCACATAATGGAGTTACTTGATAATTTTACCCTTTTAGTCAACAGCTTGGAGAGGATGAATTTTTTTGAAATATAGTACGAGTGGCTCCTTCATGGTTGCTTTGATGTATGAGGTTCTTATCAATTCTGACCAACTTCTGCTTAATAAAGTTTGGAAGTTATAGTTGGGGCAGCCTAAAAAAAATTAGAGTTCTCCCTTGGTTATTTGGTAAAGATAAAATTCTTGTAAATTTAGAAAGATATCGCCATCAAATTCATCTTACTCTAGAGAATACTTGTACGGCTTGTGGAGTAGAGAATGAAGCTGTATTGCATGTTATACGAGATTGTATTTATGCTCGTGTTGTTTAGGATCGCACTCTTGCTGCAGCATACAAGTCTCGCTTTTTGCTCTTGATCTCCATGGTTCAGGGGCGGGTCTAAGGCTTTGGGTAGTGAGGCCATTGCCTCAATTTTTGAAGGCTCCAAATTTATTTTAAATTCTTATTATTATTGTTACTATTATATATTATATAATTTATATAAATAATCAGAATAAAAAAAATATTACTTGATTGAGGTTATTTTATACAATAAATTTATAAATTATGATAATTTTCTTCCCCAATTAATTAGTATATTTGACAAGAGTGGGTTGCTCTAGTGGTGAGCACCCTCCACTTCCAACCAAGAGGTTGTGAGTTCGAGTCACCCCAAGAGCAAGGTGGGGAGTTCTTGGAAGGAGGGAATCGAGGGTCTATCGGAAACAGTTTCTCTACTCCAGGGTAGGGGTAAGGTTTGCGTACAAATTACCCTCCCCGGATCCCATTAGTGAGATTATACTGGGATTAAGAGCCTCCGAATATGATTTCGCCTTAGGCCCCGAGATCTGTTGAACCGCCGCTGCCATGGTTGTGCCTTCTAGCATTATTGATTATTCTGATAGATGTTGTTGGGGTTTCATTCCCTCACTTAATTTAGCTAGTTTTTTAATTGCTTTATTTCAATGTCGATAAAAAAGAAAAGGTTATAACTCATGGATAGTGTAAAAAAAAACTTAAAACGGTGATATATATAACTTAAATCCTCTCCGGACCAACTTGCGCGATGACTCAATTATTTCGTAGTGTACTTGCTACCTCTCAGACTCACACCAACACATACATTGAATTATTCCGTCAACCTAGACTTATATAAATAAAAAGAAATTATTTAATCTCTAAGTATTGTGCCTATCCGAACTTTAGTCGAGAAGATGTAATTTCAGCTCTTTGCCCACTAGCCACCAGTCCACCACCTTCGGGTTGGTTTTTCTCCATATTTTGTTAAAGTATGAATTTGAAGTGATAGATTTGGAAATGATGGAGTTCCAACTTCCAACGATGCGATCTAATTACCAAAATAATACAATTTGAATGGTAATGCATCCTTTAATTACGTAAAAGTTGAGTATACTCATTCTTTCTTTGTCATACATTAAATGTGAAAGAGTGAGAATGTCCATTCTAAGTACTCTCATATTAGGAAGATTAGTATATGTCTTCTTCCTCATTGTGTATATTTATTTCGTTCATTTCCAACAACGTGTAAGGCTTAAAGTCTAACCCTCCACCAAATTAGGTGATTTCTAAATGAAAAATATCATAGTATTTGAGCTGGAATCACAATAGCCTAATAATTGCATAATAGATTTAGGTCCATTCCACTACGCATTATTTGAAAAGATAAAGCTTTAAGTAATTACTGAGGACAATTTTGTTTTACGTTTAAGGTACTAGTAAAACAACAGAAAATACAAAATGTATATCCGCTGTATAAAGGTTCAAGAAAATGAAAAATATCAAAATTTTTGACTATGTTATAAAATAAAGACTATAAAATAAATTAACTAAAGATGAGTATAGAGAGAAACTGATATATTATTCAAATTCAAATTGATGTACATAATGAACTAAAAACTCCTCTATTTATAGAAGAAAGGAAGCAGCTGCGAGGCTTTTCAGGAAGCAGCTGCAAGGCTTTTCAGGAAGTAGCTGCGAGCCTTTTTCTTGAGCTGCTTGTAAGCTGTCTGCATGAGCTGCTCGCAACCGGCTTGTTTAATAAGAAGTTGCTGCAAATTATTTCATTGAGTTGCTTGCAACCTGCTGGTATCAGCTGCTTGTAGATAAACTTCAATAAAGTACTAAACGGATAATCCTCTTCAGGAAGATTATCTACAGCGGAGTAATAAATGGACATCCACAATATAATAATTTTATAACACTCCTCATTGGATGTTCATTAAAAGATAATGTGCCTCGTTAAAACCTTACTAGGAAAAACCCAAGTGAAAAAAATCCTAGTGAAGGAAAAAGAGTATACATATTTAGTAATATGCATTTCCAGTTGCCTCATTACAAACCTTACAAGAAAAAACCCATAGGAAAAATCTTAATAAGGGAAAAGAGTACAACGCGTATTTCACTCCCCCTAATGAAAACCTTGTTTCAAATATTTGAGTCTCTGCATTCCAATCCTGTATCCATCTTTTCAAAAGTTGAAGTTGGCAAAGATTTAGTGAATAAATATGCCGGATTGTCACTTGAGCGAATTTATTGCACATCAATGTCACCATTTTTCTAAAGATCATGTGTGTAGAATAATTTTGGTGAAATGTGCTTCGTTCTCTCTCCTTTTATAAATCCTCCATTCAATTGGGTTATGCATGCAACATTGTCTTCATATAAAATTGTGGATCTTTTATCAATCCAAACCATATTTTTCTCAAATAAAATGAATCACTGATCTCAACCATATGCATTCCCTACTTGCTTCATGAATAGCTATTATCCCAGCATGATTTGAAGAAGTAGCAACAATAGATTGCTTTGTGGAGCGCCATGATATGACAGTACCTTCACATGTAAACACGTACCCGATTTGAAATCGAGCTTTATGAGGATCAGATAAATAACCCGCATCTACATAACCAACAAGATCTGCACTACCTTTGTTAGCATAAAACAAACTTATATCAAGAGTTCCCTTTCAATATCGCAATATATGCTTAATCCCGTTTCAATGTCTCCGTGTAGAATAAGAGTTATATCTTGCTAATAAATTAAGAGAGAGTGCTATGCTAGGCCTTGTAGCATTAGCAAGATATATAAGTGCACCAATTTCTCTAGGATAAGGTGTTTCAGGACCAAGGAGTTCCTCATCCTCTTCTGGAGGTCGGAACGTGTCCTTATTCACTTCAAGTGATCGAACAATCATTTGTGTACTTAATGGGTGCGCTTTGTCCATGTAAAAGCGTTTTAAGACCCTTTTTGTATAGGCAAATTGATGGATAAAGATCATGTCTGCTAAATATTCAATTTGCAGACCAAAACAAAATTTTGTCTTTCCAAGATCTTTCATCTCAAATTTCTTTCTTAAGATATTCAATTGCCTTCTGGAACTCTTTTGGAGTTCCAACAAGATTTATGCCATCAACATAAACAACAAGTATAATAAATTCTGATGACATTTTCTTTTTAAATATACATGGACAAATAAACATTATTTATATAATCTTCTTTCAGCAAATATTCACTAAGGCGATTATATCACATGCGCCCAGATTGCTTTAAACCGTACAAAGATCTTTATAATCTGATTAAATACATTTCCCGAGATTTTGAATTTGCTTCAGGTATTTTAAATCCTTCAGGGATTTTTATGTAAATATTATTATTATCAAGTGAACCATACAGATAAGATGTAACTATATCCATTAGATGTATTTCAAGTCTTTCATCTAGGGATAGACTGATGAGATATCGAACTGTTATGGCATCCATAACAGGTGAATATGTTTCATCAAAATCGACTCCAGATCATAGTGAGAATCCTTGTGCGACAAGGCGAGCTTTGTATCTTTCAATTTTATTTTTATCATTTCTTTTTTCGCACAAAAACCTATTTATGACCAACTAATATTTTATACTAGCATGTGTTTGGACTACTGGTCCAAATACCTCTCTTTTAGCAAGTGCGTTCAATTCTGATTGAATTGCCTCTTGCCATTTTGGTCAAGCAGATCTTTGTCGACATTCTTCGACAGATCGTGGTTCAAGATCCTCACTATCTTGCATAATGTTAAATGGAACATTATATGCAAAAACATTATCCACTATTATTTCAGATCGATTTAAATTAATCCCATCACTAATAGAACTTATTAAAAGTTCTTCGCTGACTTGAGTCTCGGGATCATTTATTTCTTAAGAAATCTCAGAACTAATCAGATCTTGGGTCTCTTCAAGAGATCCCTTCAGAGTATTATTTTGATCATTTGTCAATTTTGTTTCCCTAGGATTTCTATCCTTAGAACCCAAAGGCCTAACACGCTTCAGGCGTGCTTTAGGTTCGCTAACTATCATGCTAGTAGATAGTCTTGCTAGGACATCAATTCGGATATGCACATTCTCTACAGGGATATGTGACTTAATTATCCTTTTTAAACCAGTAAACGCGTCTAGAATTTGATTTGCTATATTCTATAAATGGATAATCTTCTGGACCTCCTGATTACATATAGAGGTACATGGATCAAAATGAAATAATGATGAAATATTTCACACAATTTCTCTTTTGATTTCCTTTTTCTCTCCCCCTAATTGTGGAAAATTTATTTCATTAAATCGA